ATGCAATACCCTGGAATACCGTGCAAACCAAACCTTTGCAATACCCTGCAATACCCCGCAAAACGATTCTGCGAAACCCTGCAAACGGCCCTGCGATACCCTGCAAACGGCATTGGGGAGGGCCCAAGAAGGCCCCAAGACGGCTCCAAGAGGGCCCCAAGACGGTTCCAGAGGGCCCCAAGACGGCCCCAAACCAACATCGCAAAGCAGCGTTTGCGATCGGTGCGCGCGGGGGCCTCCCGGGGGCCTCTGGGAGCCGTCTTGGGGCCCTCTTGGGCCCCTCCGAAAGCTTTAGGAAGGGCCCAAGAGGGCCCCAATGCGGCTCCAAGAGGGCCCCAAGACGGTTCAAAGAGGCTCCAAGATGCCCCAAAGAGGGCCTTCTCAAGGCGCTCGTCACTGTTACGCTGCATGCTGCTACACTGCACGCTGCTACACTTCCCTGACCAGGGCAACTCGCTTAGGCATCTTCTCTGGATGGGCTGGTGGGGATACGCGAAGCGTCAAGAACCCCACCAGCCCTCTGGGCGTAGGTGGTCTAGAGCGTTTCCTCTTCCAGCTTCCTAATCAACCCCCTCTCCCCACCCTCTCCCCTGGAGTATACTGGAAGCTCGGGGGGGCCTTCAAAGGGGGGCAGGCGGAGTGGAGCGACAACCCTACTGAATTGCAAGACCGAGGAGCTCGCTCCGCCACGGCACCTCTATAATGTCCCCGAGAGACCGCGAGGCACATCCAGAGACTCAAGATGGACGGCGACGATGAGGGCAATGATGCTGACTGACAGGCGATATGGGTGATGATGATAGCGACGGTGCATATGATGACGATGCGGAGGACCACGACCTCCGCACAAGTCCCACCAGCCATCTGGGCGTAGGTGGTCTAAAGCGTTTCCTCTTCCAGCTACCTATTCAAACCCCTCTCCCTACCTTCTCCCCTGGGGTCTGCCCCCACCCCCTCCACCAACCCACCAGGGCCCCAAGACGGCTCCAAGATGGCCCACGAGCAAGTGGCGTGACGCCACTTGCTTTGGGCCGGGCTCCAAGAGGGCCAAATTAGGGCCCAAGAAGGCCCCAACGGGGCCTCAAGAGGGCCCCAAGAGGGCCCCAAGAGTGCCCCAAGAGGGCTCCAAGAGGGCTCCAAGAGGGCCCCAAACCAGCTCTATCATGATAGAGCTGGGTTGGGGCCTTGTCGGGGCCGCTGGGGCAACTCCTGGGGCCCTCTTGGGCCCCCAAGAAGGCTCCAAGAGGTCTCAAGAGGGCCCCAAGATGGCCCCAAGAGGGCCCCAAGAGGCCCCCAAGAGGGCTCCAAGAGGGCTCCAAGAGGGCCCCAAACCAGCTCTATCATGATAGAGCTGGGTTGGGGCCTTGTCGGGGCCGCTGGGAAAACTCCTGGGGCCCTCTTGGGCACCCAAGAGGGTTCCAAGAGGTCTCAAGAGGGCCCCAAGATGGCCCCAAGAGGGCCCCAAGAGGCCCTCAAGAGGGCTCCAAGAGGGCTCCAAGAGGGCCCCAAACCAGCTCTATCATGATAGAGCTGGGTTGGGGCCTTGTCGGGGCCGCTGGGACATAACTCTTGGGGCCCTCTTGGGGCCCCAAGAGGGCCCGGGGGGGGCTCCCGATGGGGCCCCAGGAGGGGCCAGGAGGCCCCCAAGAGGAGCCCCCTGCTGTCAAGGACGAGGGCCGCCAGCTTGACAGCAAGGGGGCCCGCTCGGGGTCCCTCTTGGAGCCTTCTTGGGGCCCTCTTGGAGCCCCAAGAGCCTCCTTCTCCTCCTCCCCCCTCCTTCGCACTGTTCGGCTATCCCCTTCTTTGCTCCCAAACGTCCCTGATCACCTCAACTCGTCTGGGCGTCGATCCTGGATGGGCTGGTGGGGATACGCAAAGCGTCACGAATTCCTACCAGCTCTCTGAGCCGAAGAGGCATGGCGCGTTTACCTCTCACCCCTCCTCCCGCGACCCTCTCCCCACGCCAACAAGGCCGACATCACTGATCTGTACTTAATTGGGGGCCGAGTTTGGCCCACTGGAAAGGCGGCGCTAATCCGCGGGCCCCCTCTCTTTCATTGGGAACATCAGATATGGCCCACATGCGGCCCGAAAACCTCGGAGACCTTACAAGCTCCATGCAGGGTTCCAGTAAGCCCCCGATAACACCTCAAGTGGCCCCGAACAAATCCCCTAACTTACCCATTTGCCCACTGGCCAATCGGTGCCCGAGACGCCCCAAGAGGCCCCAACCCAGATCCAGCAAGACGCCCCAAGACGCCCTAAGATACCTGACTTCGGCCGCTCCCCCGAAGCGGAACGCAGGTGGAGGTAAAGCATGAGAGGTAAACGAACGAAGGGTGCAACTCCACGATTAATCTATATCGAAGAGAAGCGCGGGGACGCGGGGTAGGAAAACGACGAGGCTTCGGGGGGGAAGTGACCTGTCGACGGGGCCTCTGATCGGAGCATCTGCACACGTTGAGGAAAACCTGAGTAGGCATGCGAGGGTTCAGTTTCACCGCGAGGAGCCTCCTGGGGCGGCGCCTCGTCGCCACCGCCGACTGGGGGCTGGCTCTGCGCAGGCAGGGCGGGCGGGGGGCTCGGAGCCGCCTGCGCTGGCGCTGCCCCTGGCGCCCTCGAGGCCCTCGGCGACGCCGCGGGAACGGCCCCGGGCGCCTGCGGGAACGCAGCCTTCGCGGCGGCCGGGGTGCAACCAGCCGCCTGGAACGCCGCGTGCAAGTTGTCCAGGTGCGTGGCCACAGAAGCGGACTGAAACTGCGCCGGGCGTGCATTGTCCGCGGCAGCTCCAAGCAAGGCAGAGATCTCTGCTCCGCCGAGGTGGCCCACGTCGGTGGACTGCCTGTGCTGAGTGATGTGTTCCTCGTCCACCTCGTACCGTGTGCGGGTGTTGTCAGGGACCAAGAAGCCGTCCACTCCGTCCTGGTTGAAGGCCCTGTGCCCCGCTCTGTCCTTCTCCTCGGGATAAGCAGAATCACGGTCCGAGGTGCTCATGAAAGTGAAGCCTGGGTTCTTGCGCCTGAAGGAGAACCTGTGGATCTGCTCCAAGAGCTGCCTGGCCGTCGACTCGACGCCTTCCCACACCACATGCGAGGACGTGTTCCCGCCCCTCTTGATGATGTCGTCGATCAGGCAGTCGATGATCTTGCAGTGGACCTCGAGGCGCTTCGGGTCGGTGCCGAGCTGGTCGGCGTAGGTCTTCATGGTGATGTGCAAGATGGCCTTGATGCGTGATGCGTGGTACTTTACGCAGTAGCCGCAGTACGGGCCCTGCGTGGCCCCCGTGATCTTGCACGCAGGTTTCCCCCACCAAATATATTGATACCGCTTGGGAATCATCGCCAAGAGCACTGGGTCGTATGAGTCGTCTGCGCGGCTGCACAGCCCACACTTCCTGCCGCAAGGGGCTGGGGCCGCCACCGTCGGGGCTCCGTCCTCCTCCTCGCGGGCGCCATCCTCGCCCGGCTGGCCAGCTGACTTGGCCTTCTTCGAACGGGCCGGCCTGCTCAGCGCGGGAAGCTGGGCGCTCTCGTCCATGCCTGCTCAGCGCGGGGAGCTCGTTGCGCGCGGCCTGAAAGAACACGCTTGAGAAGCAACGGCGTCGGTTGCGAAGGGGCGGGACGGGGGGAGAGGAGGGGCTGGCAAGAGGGGAAGGGGGCGTCGTGCAGGGACAGGCAGGACGCGGAGGCAGAGGAGGGATACGTGAAGGAGGGGCAGGAGGGATGGGAGTGCGAGGCTGAGAAGGAGCAGGAGGTGAATAAGGGGGGAAAGTTCGGGACGTTTCGACGAGCACGGCCTGCGACGGGGAGAGATTGAAAGCCCCGAAAGGGCGGGTCCACACACAACGCTGATGCTGCAACGGCCTCATCCGCGCTCAAGGAAGCTCCAGCTCGCACCTTTGAGGCAAGCACGCTCGGGCCCCCCGATCAGAGCGGCCGATGTAAGAGAGGGGCTGACACAGACGCAGGGTCATTTATCAGACGATGCCGACATCACGAATGTATAGTCGCGGGTCTTGTTCGCGCAGTCCCTGATGTCCCCTGGACCGCGAACGTTCTCAAGCGCAGCACAAGATCGAGCTGCGCCCCACAGGCGAGGCATGCATGTGCACCCTGTAAGGGTACGCGCACTTGCGTGCGCGCGCACGCGCCCTGCCTCTCCCTCACCCCTCTTCTACTCCAACCCATCTTGATCCCACGCATGTCCTCCCCACCCCTCTCCCCCGCCTCCTGGTCCAACGGCCCTCATTGTCCCGCCCCTGCCGACCATTCCGTAATCCGATGTCCGTTCCATCCGCCCCCCCCATCCTGAGCTCTCCAGCCAGTCCCCCCTCTCCCTATCCACCCCTCGCACCCCCTACACCCGCGCCGGGGCGCCTGCTGCATTCGGCCGTCTAACCAAACCCCCTTCTGGGCAGGGCGACCCCGAACAGACAGGACCGCGCGGCGGCTCAGGGGGCCCGGAGGTTCCAGACGCTCCCAACACAAGTGGCCTGGAGGGCCCGTTCCGAAGCGAATCTAACATATTATTTTCGGGCCCAGTCCGTGGTCCAGAAAGGCCCCAAGAGGGCCTGGGAAGAGGCTCGAGGTGGCGCCGAGATGGCCCTGGGCGGGCCCCGAAGCTGCAAACGGAGCACCAGAGATATGTCCTGAGGGGCTCGTTTCGAAGCGAGTCCAAAACAATGGTATTGGGCCCTGGCTGCACTTCAGCACTAAACCGAGAGCACGCCTACCCAGACGCCCAGCTGAGCTCAGCAGCCCACGAGGGCCGAGGAGGGCCATGGCGCCACACGACGCCTTTGGGAAGCGCACGGCGGAGCCTTACTACCCTAACCACTCTCAGAAGCCAGCGAGGCAATGCCCACGCAGCTCCATCCTGCTGGAAAGAACTCGACTTTTCACACACGTTCTGGTCTGCAAAACTTGACTCGCGCAAGTGCGGGCCAGCGCGCAGCTGGCGAGGCGGTGCGGTGGCGAGGCAAGGGCAAGCGCGCGACTGGCCTAGTCAGAGTCGCTGCTGTCGTCGCTGCACTCGGCGGCGGGCGGCGGCTCCGCGGGCTCGCCCGTCTTGGCATTTGACATGGACGAATGGAACTTTCCGAAGGTTGCCAGAGATGCCATCAGCCACGCCAGGTAGTGGTAAGCGCAGAAAGCATTGCCACTCATGTTCGAGCACAGCTGCACCATCTTCTCGGGGGTGACCGCGGAGTCCTGCGGCCAAGGCCCACGCCTCCAATCCGAGTCCGCCCAGCCGATGAGGCGGAACATCTCGATGGCTTCGACGGCGCGAACGCAGCGCGCCCGCTTCCCGCTCAGGCCCCGAAGCCTCACCATCAGCTTGGTTGAGCCGAGCAGCCCGGACGGTCGCGGCCTCCAAGGTGTCTTCTCGGGGATCGGCTTCCCGTCCTCATCGTAACACCCCTTCAGCAAGCGACTGAAGCCCGGGTTGATGTCGAGGAACTCAGCGCCCTTGCCCTCTGGCGGGGGCCATACCTTGTGCAAGTAAATCGCCGCCTCCACTTCCCGCGGCAAGAGACCTCCTGTGTCGACCGCGGGCCACGCCGCCAAGTCGGGGGGCCACTCGATCCCCGCGGCCTTGAAACACGTCGCGTGCTCAACCTTCCAGCCCGGGCCCCTCAAGTCCGACTCGATGGCGGGCGAGAGCTCGGAGCGCAAAGGCAGGCCAACGCGCTCGCTCTCCAAGCGCAGCTGGCCCCTGTCCACGGTGATGTAGGCCGAGTAGTGGCGCCGATCATCGGGGACCTTCGTTGCCGATAGCATCCGAGTAAAGTACAGGGTCATGTCGTCGCTGTCCCCGACTACGTTGCGAAGCCCACACCAATAGAGCCGCGTCCTGGATGGAAACGACCCGTGCTCCCTTGCGTCCATGACTGCCGCGTGTGCCCAGTAGCCCCTGGCCGAGAGCTCCTTGACGATGTAAGTCGCGTCCGACTCGAGCTCGTCGTCGGTCTGCTGCTGCAAGGACGGCACGCACTCCAGGAGGGCGACGTCAGGAACATGAGCGTCGATAACGCAAAGGGTTGTCTGGAGCCCCATCCCCGTGTCGCCCTCGCCCGCGCGGCAACAGTTGACGTTCCGATGGGCCGCGCTGCTCGCAGGTGTCCTCGACGCGCAGGGGAAGCCACTGTCCAGGAGACAGCAATGGGGCAAAGGCGCTTGCTCATCGTTTGCCCTCTCGTTCCGTGCCGCGTGGTTGCAGAGGGACTCCGACAGCTCGACGACGAACGGGGCATCATGCTGTGCCAAGGCGAACTCCCGCTTCGCCTTGTCCTTCTCGGCGTGCACCAGGTGCTGGAACGATATGTTGATGTTGTGTTTGTTCTTCATGACGCTGGCGAACGCCGACTGGACCCTGGCGGCGATCCCGGACCCGCCGTAGAGACCCCAATGAGCCACTGGCGAGATGTTCGTCGCTGCAACGCGGATGGACCCCAAGAACTCCATCAGCGTCTCCGCGGCCATCGCAGACACGATCTGGTCGACTAGCTCCTCGAGGTAAGTCGTGGGCGTCCACTCTCCCCCCCCGACCACGGGGTCAGCGCGCTCCTGCCCACTTTGGTCGACCAGCTCGCACTCGCTGTCGGTGCTGCCGACCACCAGGGCGGGGCCGTCGTCCTGCGGGCGAGCGGGGGGCGGGCCGGGCCTCACCCCACCCTTCCGCCCCGCAGCCTATCCAACCTCGCCTCCCTCTGCCAAGCCTCCCTGCTCTCCCGCCCTCCACCTCCGCTCCCCGCCCCCCATCCCACCACTCACCTCCCCGGCGCCCCCTCATCCACTTGCCCTCCTCCCTCGTCCCTCATCCGACCTCGCCTCCATCTGCCTCCCCCTCCCTCCTCCCTTGCGAACACCCCGCCCGATCCCCCCGAGATCGGCCTACCGTCGAAGTCCACGGGCGCCCTGCCGCAATGAAGCAAATGTTTTCAACATCGTCCATGATTTGACAAACACGGACGTTGAATCTATTAATAATAGAAAAACATATATAAATCATAAACCCAAAGATCTCCGAACTCAAACTCTGGCATCATATGGTCTTGATTGTATCAGTAGGGTATAATCAAAGATCTCCGAACTCAAACTTTTAAAAATGATTAAGTATGTTTTTGTAAATGCAGGCATGATTTTGTAAATGTCGACATGATTTCTGAAATCATGGCTGCACTGCGAAATAATATCGCGCGCGCTGAAAGTATGGCGGGGTCTGCGCGCGCACATGCTGACTGCGCCGCATGTCGACTGGGGGTCGGCGAAAGGCCTCGCGGGGGCAACCGTCGACAGCGACCCGCTTGCGACGCCTCCTTCCCCCCGTCGGCCCTCCCCCTGCACCGCCACGACCCGCCCTCAACCCCCATGACGACGCCAGTGGACTTCGAACGGTCGGGGGGTTAGACAGCCGCGAATCCTCGTCCTTGCCCAGGCTGATGACGCCCGCGCCCGAGGCGAAGGCTGGCAGGCCCTGGGGCAGGCCCGGGAGCATGGCGTCGACGTCGGCCTTGGTGCCGACCCTGTCGAGCAGCGTGGGCGGCGAAGCCGAGGCATCTGCTGGGCCGTGGCTGGGCAGCGCAGCTGGGGCATCTGCCAGGCCGCGGCCGGACGACGAGCTGAAGCAGGCTGCATCCATGCGCTCCATTTCCATCGCGTCGGCGTTGTCCCCAGGCGGCGTCGGCCACTCCACCATCGGCGACGGGGCCTCGACCACGGGCTCATCTGCAGGTAGTGGGAGCATGGCGAGCGCGTGGCACAAGCAGAACTCGTCGTTGCACTCGATCGCCCCAGCAGGCCGGCAGATAGCACAGCACGGCCCGCGGCCTTCGCTGGGCCGAGACGGCGCGACACAGCCCCCCTTCCCCCCGAGCTTCCCCCCTGTGTTGGAAGGGCTGGCGACGTCGGAGGGAAGGGGCGATGTGCCACGAGGGCGTCTCGGCCAAGCCTGGCGCCGCCGAACAAGCGGCGGAAGCGATGCTGCCGTGCGCCGCGACGGAGGCCGCGTCGTTCGAGCTGGGCGCTGCGTCGGCCCGCTCCACGCCAGGCAAGCCGAGAGCGACCTGGCTCTGCATCAAGCCCGCTGGCGGAGTCTCCCGGGCCTGGCGGCGAGCTGACACGGGCGCGCCGAACAACGCCACAGGGGGCAGCGGCAGCCCCGCGGTCGGCTCCGCCACCGCCGCCGTGTGCATCGGAAGCACCCCCTGCGGTGCTACCTTCGACGCCCTCGACTCGGCGGCCTCGCGGTCCGCCGCCTCGACGCTCGCTGCCGGGGCCGCCGCCGCTGCGGGCGCATCGGGCCGCGCCGAGGCCGGGGCTGGGGCAGAGGCCGGGGCGCTGCCACCTGAGGCTGGGGCAGGGCCACCTGCGAGCGAGCTATCCCCTGCCGAGCCAGAGGCAACCTGCCCCAATGCTGGCATATTGCCGCCCGCGCCCTTCTCGGCGTCGCAAGGCGGCTTCTCCTTCTTCGCTTTTTGCGCTTTCTTATCCTTCTTATCCTTCTTATCTTTCTTATCCTTCTTGTGATGGTTTTTCTTGTCACTCTTATGATGCTTATCCTTATGCTGCTTTTCTTTTGTGCCCTTCTTACCCTTCGCATCCATCTCCTCCGCATCAGAGTCAGGCCTCTCCTCTACTCTGTCAGGCGGAGCCTTCGCGCCTGAACAGCGCGCCCCGCTCTCGCCAACATCGGCGGCCGCCGCTGGCCTACCGTTGTCTGGCTGGGGACGCGCCGCGACCTGGCGACGCCCCCTGGGCTCGTGGCCGATGACCGGGGGCTCGCTGTCCGCGCGGCCTTTCGCCGCAGGGCGCTTTCGCACGGCCTCAGGCGCCTCGCCTTTCTGCCCGCTGCCTCGCCCTTTGCCTCGCCCCTTATCTCCAGCGGGGCCCGCGCCCACAGCCTCAGTAGCCGCTGGGGCTGTTCGGCGCAACTGCATGCGGGGCTGCCGAACTGCCGGGCGCCCGCGATCGGGGCTGCTGGAGCTGTCCTGTGGCGGAGGCACCGTGGCAGCGCCCTTGTTCTGCTTTGCTGCCATGGCGAGATCGCGAAGGCACGCATCGTCGTCCATGGAGTCGGCCATGAGGGGGTGCTCTCGAGAGGGAGTGCCGTCCGAGTTGAAACACCAACGGGGCAAGTGGTCTCGCCCGTATATGCCAGGCCTCATGAGTCTGAACAGCTTGAGCCAGAGAGCGAACAAGCCCGGGGCGGACAGGTAGGGCTCGGGGCCTCTAGAGCAGGCGTCCTTGGGGAAGATGCGCCCTGAATGGCCGAGAGCCCGAGGTTGGGTGTTGGGCGCCAATGGGGCAACGAGGAGGAGCCCCAAGCCCTCGGAGGGACCCTCGCAAGGGCACGAGCCGCGGTTCCTTTCCAAGACTGGGCTCACGCATGGGCCGCGCAGGCTAGGAGGGGCCTCTAGAGCAGAAGTCCCTAGAGAGGGATGCGCCTTAAGTGGCCGAGAGCCCGAGGTTGGAGGTGGGGCGCCAACGGGGCAACGAGGAGGAACACCGAACCGTCGGAGGGGCCCTCGCAAGGACACGAGCCGCGGTTCCTTTCCAAGACTTGGCTCACGTATGGGCCGTGCAGGCCAGAGGGGCCTCTAGAGCAGGAGTCCCTGGGGGGATGCGCCTTGAGTGGCCGAGAGCCCGAGGTTGGAGGTAGGGTGCCAACGCGGCAACGAGGAGGAGCCCCACAATCCCACAAAGCACTCGGAGGGACCCTCGCAAGGGCACGAGCCGCGGTTCCTTTCCAAGACTGGGCTCTCGTATTGGCCGCGCAGGCTAGAGGGACCTCTAGAGCAGGAGTCCCTGGGGGGGGCGCCATGAATGGCCGGGGGCCCGAAGTTGGTGGGGCGCCGACGGGGCAACTAGGAGGAGCCCGACTCGGATGGACAATCACAAAGGAACGAGCCGCGGCTCCTTTTAAAGACTGGGCTGTCGCCTGGATTCCACAGCCCTGGCCAAGCTACCAGGGCTCTGGTGAGCATGACTCCCCTCCCCTACTCCTCTCCCTCCTCCCCCCCTCCTCCCCCTCCTTCTCCTCCTCCTCCTCCTCCTCCTCCTCCTGCTGACCGCGCTATTTGCCCCCGGCTAACCTATCATGAACTCGAGCGCCTCGTCTAGAAGTTCGACCGACGGCTGCCCGCAGGCAAGCATCGGGCCAGAGTAGCCCGAGACATAGTACCATGAAACGTGACGCCCTGCACTACTCAGCTGATTCAACCACGTGAAGGTCAAGTCGCCGCGGGGGATTGCGAACAAGCTCGCGGGGACCCTCAGCAAATCTGGCCACCCCTTGCGGGGGGGGGGAGGAGGAAGAAGAGCAGGAAGAGGAGGGAGGAGCGAGCTCAGGCACGGGTGAGTTTTGCGTGCTCGCGAGTGATGAAGGAGGGGGAGGGGGAGGTAGCGAGGAGGGGGGGCAAGGGCAATATAGAGGAAATGGGGCAGGCGGAGTGAGGGGCGGTCAGGGTGGCCGATTGGAGGGGAGGCGAAAAGGGAAAAGAGGTCACACCTCCCCGAGATGCGCGCGGATCACGAGGTCCAGCCGGGCACGGTGCCACTTCTTACTCGTAATGCCAACGCATCGCATGCCTTTCACAAGCTCCTGGCTCAGGATTGGGCCGCGATCTAAGAGCCCGACCCCGCCCCGCCCCCTGCCCCGCCGACTTGCGTCGAACACCCATATGAAGTGCATCGGAAACACACGGGGAGGCATGGGGGGGAGAGGGTCAGGGTCGGCGTTTAGGTCGCGGCCCAATCCTGCACCGCCGTCAACGGAGGAGGAGCTGGAAGAGGAGGCAGCACCACCCGGAGGTGGATATCCTCCTCGCCTGAGGAACTCATCTCGCCCTCCGAGGGCGCAAGGGTCCAGCGCGAGCGCGAAGGGGCCCGGGCGCCGCCCCTCCGACACTGGTCACCTTGAGCAAGTCGCGTCTTCCACATCCGCACCTCCCTCTCCCTGCCTATGCCCCCCGCCCTTCCCCGATCCCTGGGCCTCGATCCTACGTCCTCGAAGGTGAGCGCAGCTCGTTTTCAAGACTGGGCTCTCGCCTGTATTGCGCAAGCTAGAGGGGCCTCTGGTGAATGTCCCCCAGAGGGGATGCACCATGCATGGCTGAGCCCCCAAGCCGCCCCGAGAGGCGCCTCTATTTACATTAACGCCTCTATAAGTAGCCTGCTTTATACTGGAAGCTCGGGGGGGCCTTCAAAGGGGGGCAGGCGGAGTGGAGCGACAACCCTACTGAATAGCAAGACCGAGGAGCTCGCTCCGCCACAGCACCTCTATAATGCCCCCGAGAGACCGCGAGGCACATCCAGAGACTCAAGATGGACGGCGACGATGAGGGCAATGATGCTGACTGACAGGCGATATGGGTGATGATGATAGCGACGGTGCATATGATGACGATGAGGAGGACCACGACCTCCGCACAAGTCCCACCAGCCATCTGGGCGTAGGTGGTCTAAAGCGTTTCCTCTTCCAGCTACCTATTCAACCCCCTCCCCCTACCTTCTCCCCTGGGGTCTGCCCCCGCCCCCTCCACCAACCCACCAGGGCCCCAAGACGGCTCCAAGATGGCCCACAAGCAAGTGGCGTGACGCCACTTGCGTTGGGCCAGGCTCCAAGAGGGCCAAATTAGGGCCCAAGAAGGCCCCAACGGGGCCTCAAGAGGGCCCCAAGAGGGCCCCGAGAGTGCCCCAAGAGGGCTCCAAGAGGGCTCCAAGAGGGCCCCAAACCAGCTCTATCATGATAGAGCTGGGTTGGGGCCTTGTCGGGGCCGCCGGGACAACTCCTCGGGCCCTCTTGGGCCCCCAAGAGGGCTCCAAGAGGTCTCAAGAGGGCCCCAAGATGGCCCCAAGAGGGCCCCAAGAGGGCCCCAAGAGGGCTCCAAGAGGGCTTCAAGAGGGCCCCAAACCAGCTCTATCATGATAGAGCTGGGTTGGGGCCTTGTCGGGGCCGCTGGGACAACTCCCGGGGCCCTTTTGGGGCCCCAAGAAGGCTCCAAGAGGTCTCAAGAGGGCCCCAAGATGGCCCCAAGAGAGCCCCAAGAGGCCCCCAAGAGGGCTCCAAGAGGGCTCCAAGAGGGCCCCAAACCAGCTCTATCATGATAGAGCTGGGTTGGGGCCTTGTCGGGGCCGCTGGGACATAACTCCTGGGGCCCTCTTGGGGCCCCAAGAGGGCCCCGGGGGGGCTCCCGATGGGGCCCCAGGAGGGGCCAGGAGGGCCCCAAGAGGAGCCCTCCTGCTGTCAAGGACGAGGGCCGCCAGCTTGACAACAAGGGGGGGGGCCCTTGGGGCCCCTCTTGGAACCTGCTTGGGGCCCTCTTGGGGCCCTCTGGGGGCCCACTTGGAACCCTGAGAGGGGGCCAGGACAGGGTGGGAGGGCCCCCGATGGAGCCCCAGGATGGGGCCAGGAGGGCCCCAGGAGGAGCCCCCTGCTGTCAAGGACGAGGGCCGCCAGCTTGACAGCAAGGGGGCCCGCTCGGGGTCCCTCTTGGAGCCTTCTTGGGGCCCTCTTGGAGCCCCAAGAGCCTCCTCCTCCTCCTGCTCCCTCCTTCGCACTGTTCGGCTATCCCCTCCTTTGCTCCCAGAGTTCCCTGATCACCTCAACTCGTCTGGGCGTCGATCCTGGATGGGCTGGTGGGGATACGCGAAGCGTCAGTAATTTCTCCTCCTACTCCTCCTTCTCTTCCTCCTCATCCGATGCATCATCCTTCTACCCGCTCACTCGCCTTTTCCTCCTCCCCTCCCTTGCGCGGTTCGGCGATCCCCTGCTTTGCTCCCACGCTTCCCTCATCACCTCAGCTCGCCTGGGCGTCGTTCCTGGCTGGGCTGGCGGGGATGCGCGAAGCGTCGAGAGTTTCCTCAGCTGACCTTTGCAACCGCCGCCCCTAAACCAAGAGAGCCCTCGCACATCGCGTATACCGTCAGACATGGCATGCTGGGCGACAGGGCGTTTCACCGCCATCGAATGTACAACGTCGGGCCATCGCGCATCTGAGACCCCAGAATCTGGCCCAGGGATACGGGCAGCTGGTTTGGGTATCGCTCCTGGATGGGCTGGCGAGGATACGTGAAGCGTTGCGAATATGTTTTGCTTTGCGGAGCATTGGGATGTAAAGGTCTTTACCCCGCCCCCAACGCCAACGCCTGGGCATCTAACTCCGCCTCGGGGCGCAACTCGATCCTACGGCGCGGGATGCCAAATACGTGTCGGTGACGACCGCCGGGGAGATCGGCAGCGATGGCGCAGCCGAGCAGCAACCACTGCTTGGCTATCCGGCGCGTCTCGGCGGGCGTGTTCGTCGTAAATCTGAAGGCCCGCTTGCAGGCCCTGCCCGTAGCGTCAGAGTGGCAATTGCAGTTGCCACCCCAGCCGACGTGCACTTTGTGCAGGAAAATGCGCGAGATAGACCAAGGGCCAAATGCCTCATGGTGGCGGTGGCGCACAGGAACAGGGACACCCCCGGCAGGACCCGCCTCGCCCTCCGCCTCGAAGTCGTCGTCGTACTCCGACGACTCGGCAGAACCGCATTCGCTGGCGTCCGTTCCCTCCTCAGAATGCTCGACGGGCGGCGGCCCCGATGGGCCTGGAGGGCCCACGGCGCCGCCAGCCGCACGACCAGGAGCCTTCTTGGCCTTCTTGGGGGCAAAACCCTTGATGCCATCGAGCAACGTTTTGTTCGTGACCTTGGACTTCTCCGTCTTCACGGGCCCAACCTTTACCTCGCTTGCCCTCACGACCTCAATCCAATTCGCCACCAAGAACACGCCAGCTGGACACACGGGCAGCCTCACCATATCAATCGGAGCTGGCGCAACGTAGGCCGAATCGAAAAGTAGACCCATTGCCGGGCTGGTGACCATCAGCCTGCCTAAGAAGGTCATGTCGTTCAAGTACTCGGGCACGAGGCTCTCGTCGTCTCCGCAGTCCACCTCCACGCACAGAGTGTCGGCGTCATACCGACACGGCGTCAACATTCGCAAGCGCGGGTTCCCACCGCGCTTGTACCCGGCGCACGCCCACGTCGTGACCGTTCGAGCCTCTCCCTGAAGACGGACGTGGATGAACGTGCCAGGCTTG